ATTCTAGATGTGGTCTGGCCAGTCTAAAGTGTGGGACTCTCATCTCTCTTTTTCTGCACATTATAATTCATTAATCATGGCACATTCTCATATTTACTTTTGTCTTGACACCTCTATTATACTTTTAATGCATAATAATTGGGGTCAACCAAAATTCTAAACCTCTTTCCTTGATTCAATAAAATTAGTTTTTAGATACAAGGGTAAAACTTTAAATATCCTTGTCCAATTTTCTTTTGGTTAAATTTGTTTCAGTGACTGCCTATTAAAATACTTAAAATCCAGATTATAAAATACCCCCATGGAACTATTCATCTTGTTTTTACATCATCTAACACTGTTAGATATGCCATCAAAGATTACCTAAGTTATTATCAATAACACAGATAATAACTGTGTTATTATCAATAACAGTTAAGTGAAGATAGAACTGTGCATCACACTAGTAAATATCCTTTGCTAACTGGCATGCTATTTTAAATTATTACAGTCATATTAAACCATTAAAAATACTATATGAAAAAGGATATTTAATATTGCAATCATCCAACTGAATTGCCATTCAGCCTATCTTACTTGAAGTATTATCTTCAAAAGGCTTTTCTATACCTTCTAGGCCAAAAGTTAGTGAACTCTCAGTTTCTGAGAATTCTAAGTTTGATTTTAGTTGCCAGGGATACTACATTGAACATGACAATGTCCCTGCCTCTTGGTTCTTAAATTCTAGTAGGATAAAGACAATAAATAAACAATAAATCAGTAAACAGGCAAAAAAGCAAGATAACTTCTAAAAGTGATTGTTATGAAGTAAACAAAACAGGTTAAAAAGAATAGGGTCACTGAGTGGCTGTTTTAGGTCAAGTAATTAGAGAGGGCCCCTTTAGGTGACTTGTAAACTTGACTTGATTAACAGGAGTCAGTCTTGCAAAAATCAGGAATAGGAAAGAAGTTAAAGGAAAAGGTCAAAGTGACTAGGAAGAGTAAATATAAGTACATGTCCCAGCTATTTTGCAATCCTACTTTATCTAGGTCATCTAGTTATTCCCAACTTTCCCTGAAAGATACATGTGTGCTTTTGGACTAATGTAATCCATTCTGGAGGTTGAGAATGGGGAATGGGGTGGTGGCTACACCAATCCCTAAAGATTAAAGTAATGAGAAATCACGGCCACCATGATTAGCTCTATTCAATGGTCACAACAATTCCAAATTCTGGCTAACTTTATAAAGAGCATATTGTTGATCAAAGGAGAAAAGAAAAAGAGAGTGAAGAATTAGTGCAAATTCACAACTCCAGGAAACACATGTCAAAAGTTCTTGAGCATAAGCAATGGTTTACCACTTCCACAAATAAGTGGAAAATCTGAGCATGTCCTCAATGAAAATAAAATAATTCAATTTAGCTATAGCACAAGGCACATGAAGGTTATCAACATAAGATATAAACTGGTTGGGGAAATATCACTGAATCCTTTTTTATGCCAAGCAGTTAAACTTGATTTTGTATGGAATTGAGAATTACTAAAACCTTTTTGAGAATGGTAGTGTGACTGATCTCAAAGCTTGGTACAGAACACAGACTAGGAGTGGAGAGACCAGTTAGAAAACTATTATTATTATTATTATTAATAACTAATGATTGCTTGAACTTAAGGAGTGGTTAATCTGTTGGTGATTACTTTTCAGAATGCTAAATGTCCACAGTTGACCAGAATGTGGTAAAATAGTCATTTCAGTACATTTCTGGTGGAAGTGGGAATCAGACTTTTCTGGTGTACTATTGTATTGGATTGGATTACAAAGCAGAGGAGGTCAAAAAGACCAGAGGACTGATAGATATGAAGGATGAGAAAAGAGAAGTTATTGAAGATAATTATGAGGTTTTAGACCTGATTGTGCAAGATGATCAGACTATTAACAGAAATGAGAAAGCAAGAGGAGATGATGGAAAAGAGCAGGACAGATTCAAAAGACTATAAGGATCTGCCCTGGCTTCATCATACAAATACTTTGTAATCTTAGAAAAGCTCACTTAAACTTAGTGTTTATATTTATGAATATAAAATGGTGGTGACAGAGGGTGTTGGAATAGCCTACCTTAAATATCTTTTCCAGCTAGACAAGTCTGAGATTTTAGAATGTTGCTGTGAATCATAACATTGAAGCTTTTGCTTTCAGAGAACTATAAACAACTGTAAGGCAGGGACTTATTAGCTTATTATGTTTAGCATATTAGCTTTTCTAACAAACAAATAAATGGTTAGAAATATCTGGGTCTTGGCTAAAGAAAATATCAGCAAAATGAAAGGGGACCCAACTATATGGGAAAATATATTTGCCAATGATACCTTGGACAAGGGTTTGATCTCTAAAATACATAAAGAACTCACATGACTCCACACCAGGAAGACAAACAATTCAAATAAAAAATGGGCAAAGGACCTAAACAGACATTTCTCAAAGAGGATGCATAGAGGGCCTAGAGACATATGAAAGGATGCTCAGCATCACTAGCCATCAGAGAGATGCACATTAAAACCACAATGAGATACCACTAAACACTGGTCAGAATGGCCATGATAAATTAACAAACAACAAGTGCTGGCAAGGTTGTGGTGAAAAGGGAACCCTAGTGCACTGTTGGTGGGAATGCAAACCGGTGCATCCACTGTGGAAAACAGTATGGAATTTCCTCAGAAAACTAAAAATGGAACTTTCTTTTGAGCCAGCAGTTCCACTGCTGGGAGTATACTCTAAGAATCCTGAAACACTAACTCAAAAGAACTTATGCACCCCAAAGTTCATAACAGCATTATTTACAATAGCCAAGTGCTGGTAACAGCCTAAGTACCCATCAGTAAATGAGTGGATCAAAAAACTGTGGTACATTTACACAATGGAATACTACGCAGCAGAAAGAACTCCTACACTTTGAGACAGCATGGATGGAGCTGGAGAGCATTATGCTAAGTGAAATAAGCCAGGTGGTGAAAGATATATACCATATGATCTCACCTATAAGTGGGAGCTAATCAACAAAACAAACAAGCAAGCAAAATAGAACCAGAGACATGAAATAAAGAACAAACTGACAGTGACCATAGGAGAGGTGGAAGGGGTATAACGGAGGGTTGGGGACGAAGGAGAAGGGTCAAGTCAAGGCACATGTATAAAGGATACATGGACTAAGACAGTTGGGAGGGGGATGATTTGAAAGTGGGAGATGGGGGGTGGGTAGGGCAGGGGAGAGTAATGGGGTAAATGGGGACAACTGTAATTGAAAAGTAACAAAATTTTAAAAAAGATATATCTGGGTCTTTAAAAAACATTTGAAATGAATAGCATGTTTCCTTTCATATTTTCTCTGCTACTGCATATGTATTTGTATCTCTGTGTGTTTACAAGAACCTGGGATTTTACCAGTTTTTAGCCCTGGTTTTCAGCATTATAGTATATGTAGTTTCCTATATATCTTTATCTATTAAAAACCATGTTTTTAAAGAAGTTTCATATAGGTATATGAATAGCCATAATCTACTCAATCCTCTATCGATTGTATATATCACTGTTTCTAATAACATTTTATTTTCAAACTCTACTCCAGTAAACTGATTACATTTCCACCAGGAATAATATTAAAGTGTGTTTTGTTACATTCTTGCCAAATATAGGCATGTAACATTTTAAAAGAGCAATTCCCAACAAATGAAGAATGGCTTCTCATTTTAATTTGTATTTGAATATAGAAGAGTTAACATTCTTATATATTTTTTGACTTTTCTATTTTTTTAGGTTCAAAGATTCTATTAAATCTGTGAATATTTTCTTTTTGGATAATCATTTAATTATGCCTTAAAGATCTTATATAATAAAATTATTAAACTTCCACCTTTCATAGGTGTTCCAAAAATGTGTTCACTATTTGTATTTTTTGTGTATTTTAACATACGAGTTGTAATGATTATGCATTCCACGTTTTTCTTCTCAGTTCCACCTTTTATTTTTATGCTTAGAAATGTCTTAAGACTATATGGCTTCACCTATATTTTCTTCTAGTTCTTTTATTGGATATATGTAATATTAATTCATCACCAGTTTAATGTATGGTAATTTCTTCATTATGTGGACATAAAGTAGGACTTGCAATTTTTTTAATGTTTTCATTATAAGTGGCTACCATTGTCAATTTTCTTAGTTCTTATAGCTATTGTTTCCCTAGAGTTTTCTAGGTAAACTTTTTTAAAATCACAATTCAGTGCAACTTAATGCTCTATTTTTTAATAGTTCAGACTTCTTACTGCTTTTTGTTGTTTCACTGAGAATTTCCAGGACATTGTTGGGGAAGGGGAACAGTAGTAATCTTTATATCCCTTAAAGCATTTGTAATGTGTTCTGACATAAAACATTTACTGAAGAGTTGAGTGATCTAAAGTTTTGGTGAATCTAATAATTTTCACCTTCACAAATCTTAAATGTAGACATCATCATTCCCATTTCACAGATGGAGAAACTGAAGTTCAAGAAGATACATAAACACAACGCCCAAGGGCTAGTTTAAGAAAAAAATTTCCTTGATTCCAAAATCTTTTCCTGTTACGTGAATAACGGCCCATAAGGCACTGGAGGAAAGCTTGCTCTAGCCTCGCTGGAATGTACCCTCCAGTCCCTACTTTCAGACTTAGAATATTAAAAGAGCAAAGGTCCCATAGACAGAGACAGTTACTCTGCAGGCATGTGAGGCTGGGTCTCCAGTAGTCAACACCAGCCCTGTGTGGAGGCGGGTTGTCGCACTAACCTACAGGATTTGCAGGCTTTTCTAAGCGAGGGCCGGGCGGGTGTTTGCAGCTAATCTAATGGTGCCAGCGTAGTTTTAGAAGCCGGCTCCTAGCCCTCCAACTGAATGGAAAGCCTAAATTTGCCGCTCTCTTCTCGCTGAGCTGCCTCTCAGCTCCGATCACCTCCCTACTGCCCCCTGCAGGCCGACTGGCGGGACTGCTCAGGGGACAGCGCTAGGCCGGCCTTGGCCTGCCTTCCACAACACTTCAGTCTGGGCACTGTCGCTGCGGAGACACCAGGCCATGGCGCGCGTGCTGATCGTGGGTGCCGGGCTAACAGGAAGTTTGTGCGCAGCGCTGCTGAGGAAGGAGGCGACCTGTCCTTTACATCTCGTTGTGTGGGACAAAGCTGGGGACTCAGGTGGGTTGTCTAGTGGCGAAACGCAGGAAAAGAAGCCGGCGCCGATGCCGGTTTCTAAGGTGGCGAGGGCCCCACCGGAGAAAGTTGGAATAATACGTAGCTCACCCAGTCCCGGCGCGGTCCAGCCTGCGCAGTGCGCGCCTTGTCACGTGATCGGAGACTTCCGCCGCCGGAAAAGGCCCGAGGAGGACGGAGGGTGGGGGCGGCGACCCCGGCTAGGTTGGTGGCGGTACGCGAGTATTGCGCCAGCTTGTGCCAGGCCCGAGCGGCTTGGAAGTAATCCTGAACGGAGTTTGCCAAGCTTGGGCCTACCGCTGTGGCTAATACATAGATTTTCATCTTGGCCTGTCTGTGCCTTTGCAGTTTTGTCCAAATTATGCGGATCCCAAAAAGCCCATTGACCAAGACCTAATGAAGACCTAGTTTATGCGATCCGGTTGTTTCCATGAATCCTGACTCAAAGAGTGAAAGCATTCATTGATTGATTCATTCTGGCAGTTCATTAATGCGTTTATTTTATTCATTCATTCATTCCTTTCATTCAAATTTGTAGCTGTACGCACCAGATACAGTGCTGAACACTGCTGTGTTATCCGTGTGTCATTAAAAAAAATAACGCAATTGGTGACCAAGTTTTCTTTTAACTATTTCCTACCAATGTTGGATGACAAAAAATCTTCAACTTAAAAAGAAATGTTTTCTAATACAGATATAAGGTAATACATTTGGGGTAACATGGGGTGAATAGCATTAATTGCAAAAGGTTATTCTAATGCAGACATTTTTTTAATTCAAGGGGGAAGAATGACGACTACCAGCAGTCCTCATAATCCACAGAGCACAGTCGACTTGGGTGCCCAGTACATCACGCGCACTCCTCACTATGTCAAAAAACACCAAAGGTGAGTTAGTTGAGGGGTGGAATCAGTCTTACTAGCTGTATGATGTACAGATAAACTCCATATTTAACAGGGTTAAACTTTGCTTCTTGTAATACAGTAAAATTATTATGATATCATTTTTGATGGTGTCAGCAATAAAAGGTTTACCTAAGTAAAATGGGAAAACTAATACATGCGTCATAGGGCTGTCGTGAAGCTCGATGAAATGTTAGATGGAATAGAGTAAGGGTTCATTAAATACGAATCATTATGTATGTTGGTGTTGAGGAAGAAGACGAAATAGCTGTGTTGGAAGTCATTGTTAACAGTTTAAAACTGGTGTACTGAATAACTTTTAGTTCATATTCACTGACTGTTTATATTTGGAATGTACAAGAAAATAGGCCTTTGGTTAATGTCAGCAAAAGATTTATGGATTCTCAAAACATTTCTATTCTTCATCCAAATCATGTTATATGAACACAAAACATACATTTAATTGATCATATGACAATTTCTCGTTATTTAATATTATAATCTGTAAGAATTCTTGTGGGAGAATACGGTATGTTAGAGCTAATTATAATATATAATTGTATATATTGATTTATTTCAGTTTTTATGATGAACTGTTAGCTCATGGCATTTTGAAGCCTCTGACCTCTTCTATTGAAGGAATGGTGATGAAAGAAGGAGATTCTAACTTTGTGGCACCTCAAGGAATTTCTTCAATTATTAAACATTACTTGAAAGAATCAGGTGGGAATAGGATTTTCTCTCCCTTCTTTTAAAATTAAAATTTTAAAATAAAAGTTATACACGTAATTAAACAATACTGTAAAGAAAGTTATAAAATAAAGTAGATATTCTCCTATTCGACACTCAATAGCTAGTTTTCTTCCCTTAAAGTAATCGCTAATAACAGTTTCCAAAGTAAGCTTCCAGGAAAGTGTTTATTTAGCTATCTATTAATCTACACGGCTGTATTTATTTATCTATTCATATATATTTATATTTATTCTGTTTTTAAACTTTAGATTTTAGATTTATTCAGGGCTGTTGGCACATGTTTGTAGGATATTTAGTTTAACAGATGACAAGTAGCTCCCCCTCAGTGAGGCCCTGGCCTAAATCTATTTGCTTTACTTATAAAGCAATAGGATAACATAAAACATGAAAGCTTTTGATGTGTGGCACTGAACGATGATCTACACAGGGCATCCTGCAAAAGCTACAGTTAAGGACCCACGTAGCTTTTCAGCAATACAAGCCTGGGTCTTCTGGTCCATTTGCATGACATTCATGTTTTATGCCTTGAAATTTCTTTTTGATTGCATCGTTGGAGCTTGCATTGATCATTTTATTTTTCAGTGGTGCTAGCTCTGGTGCTCACACACACACACACAAAAAACAAATAAATACAGCATTTGCTCTTTCCTGAATTCCTTGGTTTCAAAGCTTGGATCAAACAAAACATAGCGACAATCTTTCTCAGGAAGCAAAAATCCCACAAAATATTTGAAAGGATAGGTTATGGCTACGCCAGCATCTCCAGTCAAGAACCAAGTTCTCTTTGCCTTCCTCAGTGATACACTTTTTGTCTGCACTGAGAGAAAAAATGACAGCTTTCTTTCTTTTCTTGATTTCTTCTGCTGTAGAATACTTTCTAACTTTCATATCATAAAAAAATGTGACATACTTCATCGGCAACATGCACTCCTGAGGCCACCTTCAATTTAGTTTCGGTCACAAGGGCATGGCAGGTGGCAGGGAGGGGGAAAGAAGGGGAAGGAGTCAGGCACATGTATAATGAGCAGCCTCCTACAGCAGCAGGACCAAGCGACTTGTTTACATTTATTCTTTTGAAAAATATATACTCATGGGATTTTTTACATAAACTTTTCTACAACATATTTGGTCTATGTTGGTAATAAATCTCTCTCTCTCTCTAAAGCAGTGCATTTACTTAGACACTGTTCACATCTCTTCAGGTTTTGTCTGATCAGTTCTGAACTGCTGCTCCCTAAAACCTATTTGTAGGAAGTTATGGCAGAAAAATAAATATAGATTTTCTCTTTAAAGTAGAGAATGGCAGGAAATAAAATTGAGTAAATATATAAAAAAACATATTTGCTTTTGTAAAATGTTTAAACTTTAATATTCTGATATCTTTATAGCTATTTACGTATTTTTAAAATTTTTATTAAATATTATGTGCTGGGAAAACAGTGGTAAATAAGAGACGTGGTTTCTGCCTTTGTTAATGTAGAGTATATTAGAGAGGGAAGACAAAACTAATTACATACACACTCAAATGCACTTAATAAATGCTTAGAAGGAATGAGTGCGTTACGAGAGAGCACATGATAAAAAGGCCGAACTACACTGAGTTTCAGAGGTATGAGGGGGCGAGGGGTCAAAGAAAACGTCACTGAGGAATTGAGGTTTTCACTGAGTACCTGAAAGGTAAGCAAGAGGAAACTAGGCCAAGAAATGAGTGGTGGTAATTCTGTGCAGTGAACACATGAAATTGGAACTGTTCTAATGTAGGATTAAGTGCATTCGAGGAACTAAAAGGTCATCATGATTGGAGGTGAATGAGGAAGAAAGTGATGATGAAGCTCAAGACTAAGAGAGGGGCCAGATCATAAGGGGCTTTGTAAGCAATATTAAAGATTTTATACTTTATCTTATGTGCAGTGGGAAGCCATTGAAGAATATTAGAAATGGAAGGACAGATAAAGTGCTTCCCAGATAAAGTTAAAGGAGTTCATCATCACCAAGCCCTTATTATATGAAATGTTAAAGGGACTTACCTAAGAAAAAGAAGATCAAAACTACGAACAGTAAAATGACAACAAACAACTATCAACAACTGAACCTAAAACAAAAATAAAAACTAAGCAAACAACTAGAACAAGAATAGAATCACAGAAGTGGAGATCACATGGAGGGTTATTAGTGGGGGAGGGGAAAGGGGAGAGTAGCGGGAAAAGTACAGGGAATGAGAAGCATAACTGGTAGGTACAAAATAGACAGGGGGAGGTTAAGAATAGTGTAGGAAATGGAGAGGCCAAAGAATTTATATGTATGACCCATGGATATGAATTAAGCGGGGGAAAGCTGGTGAAAAGAGGGGAAAGGTAAAGGGGAATAAAAGGGAGAAAAAAATGGGAAAACTGTAATAGCATAATCAATAAGATATACTTTAAAAAAATAAAAACAAAGTCTTGATTTTGCCCTCAAAAAAAAAAAAAAAAGACAACAGCTAACACGATAGCTGTCCATAGTGAATGAATCAAAATTATATCTATATTTTTGTCAGATTGGCAAAATATATATTTTTTTAGTGTGCTACAGAATTTTAGTAATTAGTTTACGTGTTCCATGAAATGAAAAAGGCTGAAAATCACTGCCTTAAACCAGTATTGATTATATACCTAGTGTTGTGCCCAGGACTATACTACATAAGTTATACACTATATAAAGAAACATAACAGACTTAATTACAGGTTAAAAGGGAAGAAAATATTAATCAAATAACTACTCAAATAATTACAGAAATACCTTTGTGATAAATGTGAAGAAGAAAAATACAATAAGAGTATTCTAGATTGTGTTTCTCTTAATTCTTTCTTAATTAAGGTGATTGACCCATTGATAAGGACTTGAATTTCTCTTATAGAGACCTTTCTCAAGTTTAATAGAAAATAATAATTCCTTTAATAGGGAATATTGCTCTTTCTTGCTATTACTAGAGAGAAGAATTAACACCTTTATGAAAATGTATACTTGCTCTACAATGATAATGAGTTCAAAGCCAGGTAGATGTAGCTTTAAATTATGGCATGGCATTTCTGAATCTGTTCCCTTATTTGTGAAATTAATTGGTATAAAGTATTTCAAGTGCTTCATATAGTCTTCACACATAGTAGATGCTTAATAAAAAATAGCTATCATTACTATTATTATTAATTGTAATAGTATTTTTCCCCAGAGCAGGCATTGATAGGCAGGTCCAAGAGTGCCAGAAGGAGAGGAATTCCCACCAAGTGAGAAAAAAAGTAAAGAAAGCGAACCTTAGGGGCTGTAGAGGACAGACTGCACCATTTATTCACCCAAATGGATCCAGTTGGTGACTCTTCTCTCCCCCTTTATTCACATGGAAAATTCTGCTTATGTGAACATGATTTTGCTTTTGGAACAGGTGCTGATATCTATTTCAGACAATGTGTGACCCAGATCAACCTGAGAAATGATAAGTGGGAAGTCTCCAAGGAAACAGGCTCCCCTGAGCAGTTTGATATTGTTGTCCTCACGATGCCAGTTCCTCAGATTCTGCAGCTGCAAGGTGACATCGCGGACTGTGAGTGCCAGCCTGTGCTGTTTACTTCAGGGAATGGGATTTCTCTGAGAGCGTGAATTCAGCTTAACTCTCCTAGCAAAGGGTGTAACAGTATGGATCCTATTGATTTGCATGTTTACAAACTGATAAGATGACCTAGTTCATGGTATTAGCTTTGGTCAAACTGAAACCCTTAGAATTTTTTTCCTTAACCAGTTAAAAGTCGAACGACTTTCTTATTACTCTTGACTTTGAGATGTAAATAATTGTGATGGATATGCAGTAGTTTGGCCTATGGGAATAACTGTTTCTTTGTGGACAGTGGGAGAAAAAATGGTTTTTATGACACAAGCATTGATTATGTGAACCCCTGGCAAACCTCATCTCGGACTGCTATTGACTAAGAGTCGCGTGTTCTTCCCTGCTTGGGATTTGCTGGCTCACCTTTTACCTTTGCCCCTGTCTTTTTTTAAAACAGCTTTAAGATATAATTCTCATACCATCCAATTCATTTATTTACAATATACATTTCAGTGGTATTAAATACATTCACCAATATATGCAACGCTTCCCACCATCAATTTTGGACTACTTTAATAACCCCGAAAAGAAACCCCATATCCTAAAGCTCTTGCCTCCTTCCCTCCATCCCCTAACCCTAAAGGAACTGGGATCTACTTTCTGTCTCTATAGATTTCCCCATTACCTGGATTCTTAAGAAAAGCTTCTCTGTGGTTCCACTTTGTCTCTACCTATGCCAGGGTTCACTGATTTTTCTCCTGTGTTTTATTTTGTCTGACTGAGCCTGACATATCAAAGTCATTGACTTCTAGAGGTTACCTCATCTTGCCTTGAAGCCCATGAGTTACAATAAAGGAGAGCCTGGCAATGGTGGGCAAGACTTTGGGTCATGTGGGAATGGCGATGGGTATTGATGTGCCTGGAGCTTTTGACTTAAAAAAAATTTGCTTATCTTTGAATCCAGTAATTTCATAAAGACGAATAATAGTTGTGTGTCAGTTTTGCATGGAACATGTCATCCATTGTTTTACTTGAAAATTCAGCTTTCCCCTTATTTTCAGCTAAGTTTTCTTTTGATACTTGAAGAATTATTTCTGGTTCATTGATTATGATCTCAGAGTATTGTAACACAAAATATCTCCCTCCCATATCTGCCATTTTGTCTGAACTCACTTTCAACTTTGGTTTTTGCATTATTTTTTAGCTTTCTCTTTCTAGCCTTCTCTCCATGTCACCCATGTATTTTTCAAAAGTGTTCCTTTTTCTCTTCCTTGAGATACTTTTTCAAAGAGGTCATATAGTTCTTCACTATTTTCACGTCATTGCCTAAGTGTTTGTTGAACTACTCTGCTTCCTCACAAAATTTTTCTGATGTGTATTTTTCATCAGCTCATATTTTAGGTTCTGTTATGTTTCATTGCCTTTCTCCTTTACTCAGCATAGGTCGCTCTCTAATCATTAATCATCTTTAAATGAGTCTATGTCTGTCAATTTCGTGAAGAATAGTGTTCTCAGGAAGGCCAGACATTTCTGTGAAACTGTTTCCTTAGAACACTTTCCATATAAATTTTGCAATTATTTACTTGTGAACAATTGAATGCTAGTGATCCTTAATATAATAATGTAGTTATTAACAAGAAGAGATTTCACAGTATTTTAACTGAAAAACAAAAAGATGCATCTATATTTTTTCCACCAACAAAAATATTTTGATAGAAACATTTTAACATTGTTTATTGTTTAATGATTTTTACATTTCCTCACAATTTTTTGAATACTCATAATTTTAAAAATAAGGATAGTTTAGTCTAACTATTAAAAGGATAATGTTGACATTTGAAAAAATATATCATCCTGAAAAGAAAAAAAAATTTTTTCTTTTCTTTTTTTAGTGGGGCAATATGGTGGAATATGTAGGCTCTTTATGATGAAAAAGTTAAAAATCATTGACTTGGTACATTTGATTGATGGTTAGGGTGTTTGGGGTATTGTATTGTCTCAATTCAAAATTGGGCCCCACGCAAATAATTCTGTGCTTACTTCCTTGTTATGAAATAACCCATTCTGGCAGTAAACAGTTAACAGACTGTCCTGGCGATGATGACACAATGCCTGTGGGTACAAAAGAAAGAGATTAAAAACATCTGCTTTCTCTTTATCTTACCAGTTTCAATAAGGACCTCAGTATGAAGAATGAGTTAATCTCTTCTCTCTGTGTTTCTGGAGAACTTTAAATATACTCTTGCTTGATTTTAGACATTTTCAATTTCTATGAAGAGACGTCCATTTACAAAGCCATTTATTGCCATCTAGTGGATCCCGGTATATATTGCAGTTCCCATCTAAATTTTTATTTTTATTTATTAAATTGTAATAGTTTATTTTTTATTGTATTTTTTCCCATTACCATTTACCCACCGTACGCCTTGTCCAGCCCCACCCGCGCACCTCCTCCCCGCAATCACCACACTGCAGTACATGTCCAGGGCACGTGTTTTGGCTTGCTCCCTCCGTCCCCCACCCCCGCAGCTGCCAGCCTGCTCTCTCTGAGCCTGTCCCCATTTTCCTTGTTACTTCAGTTTGTTCACTAGATTCCACATATGAGTGAAATCATATGGTGTTTGTCTTTCTCTGACTGGCTCATTTCACTTAGTATAATGTTTTCCAGGTCCATCCATGCTGTCACAAAGGGTAAATTTTTTTCTTTTTTATGGCTGAGCAGTATTTCATTATGTAAATATACCATAGTTGTTTTATCCATTCATCTATTGATGGACACTTGGGCTGCTTCTATATCTTGGCTATTGTAAATAATACTGCAATGAACATAGGGGTGCTTATATTCTTTTGAATTAGTTTTTTGCATAAATTCCCGAAAGTGGAATCGCTGGGTCATAATGCAGTTCTATTTTTACTTTTGGAGGTAACTCCATACTGCTTTCCACGGTGGCTGCACTAATCTGCATTCCCACCAACAGTGCAAAAGGTTTCTCTTTTTCTACATCCTGACTAACACTTGTTGTTTGTTGATTTATTAATGATAACAATTCTGACAGGTGTGAGGCGATATCTCTTGTGGTTTTAATTTGCTTTTCTCTGATGATTAATGCTCTTGATCATCTTTTCATATGTCTATTAGCCATCTATATGTCCTCTTTGGGGAAGTGTATATTTAGTCCTTCACATTGTTTGTTTGTTTTTTTTGGTGTGAGTTTTATAAGTTCTTTTAAATTTTGGATATTAACCCCTTATCAGATATATCAGCGATTAGTGGGTTATCTTTGTATTTTGTTGATGGTTTTCTTTGCTGTGCAAAAACCACCCAAATCAACCTATAGATCCAATGTAATTCATATCAAGATACCAATGATACATTGAACAGAACTAGAACAAATATTTCAAAAATGTATATGGAACCAGAGAGGACCCTAAATAGCAAAAGCGATCTTGAGAAAGAATGAGGTTGAAGGAATCATGCTACCTAATATCAAATTATACTATAAGGCCATCGTAATCAATACAGTATGGTACTGGCATAAAAACAGATACCTTGATTAATGGAACAGAATAGAGAGCCCAGAAATAAACCTATGCCTTTACAGTCAATGAACACTTGGCGGAGGAAGCAAGTACATACAACAGGCTAGAGATAGTTTATTCAATAAATGGAATTGGAAAATCGGACAGATGCATGCAGAAAAATGAAACTAGACCACGTTCTTATACCATACACAAAAATAAATTCAAAATGGATTAAAGACTTAAATGTTAGACTTGAAACCATAAAAATCATAGAAGAAAACATGGACAGTAAAATCTTGGACATTGCTCGTAACAATATTTTTTTCTGATATATCTCCCAGGCAAGGGAAACAAAAGAAAAAAATAAACAATTGGGACTACACCTGTTCGAATTTTTAAATTAGAGAGAACTGTAAAGGTGATGGAAACACAGAATATATATAAAACTATAACTATAATATAATTCACAAAACCCCATAATATCACAGGGAAATAAATTTAGGCCTGTTCTAATTAATTTACCAAAAAGTACATAGCTAATTAGAGACAGAACTAGGACCTGTGTTACAGGTCTTATATTCATACAAACTATGAGCAGTCCTGTGTTTTTGGCTTTTTTTGAACTTTTCTTCTCATTGTGTATCTATCTCTTTTTCTAAATCATTCTAGCCTTTAGGATCAACATGTGTACTATCTCTGAAATGAAAGACTTCTCTTTTGATTACAGCAGTGTGGTCTGGATCTCCTCCTAACTCTTCCTTTTCCTTATTTTGTTATCTAGAGAAGACACAGAACTGCCTTTTTTTTTTTTTTTTTTTTTGCAATAACTTGTTACCTTTATTACATTCTCCAAGTTGGAAGATCAAGGAAGCTTTATGGACCATATAGTGAATTTCTTATAATTCACGATTCACTTTCTGGTTCTTTAACTGTGCCCTTCTATGTATTAACCTTACAAAAGCCATCTGATTTAATTCTCACCTGACACCATACATAGTTATATTTCCTATGCTGTACTTTACATCCCTGTGACTATTTTGTAACTACCAATTTGTACTTCTTAATCTCCTCACCTTTTTTAGCCCCCAGCCTCCCCTCTCATCTGGCAACCACCAGTTTGTTTTCTGTATCTGAGTTTGTTTTGTATGTTAATTTATTTTGTCTTTCGGATTCCACAAATGAGGGAAAACATATGGTATTTGTATTTCTCTGTCTGGCTTATTTCACTTATCATAATACCTTATAAGTCCATTTATGTTCTTTCAAGTGGTAAGATTTCATTCTTTTTTATGGTTGAATAATATTTCATTATATATGTGTACCACATTTTCTCTTTTCATTCATCTATCAATGGACACTGAGGTTGCTTTCATATTTTGGCTATTGTAAATAATGCTGCAATGAACATAGGGATGCGTGTATCCTTTTGTACACCATACATAAGAATAAACTCAAAATGGATTAAAGACTTACAGGTA